ATACCAGCCCGTGCGAGATGAAATCTTTCTTTGATTTGGTTCAGGCGGCTGTTTTCTCTTTCTCTTTCTGCCTGTTTTCACGCTGCTTTAAATAAAGCAACGCTATTTTAAAGACGGGGGAAAAGATTAAAAACCGGTCCTAAATTAATGGTGCTACACATGTGCGGCTTTATTTAGAGAGTCTTTGCTGAGAAACAATGTGTTCCTGGTATTATTTTAAACCGTCATGGTGCAAAAGGAAATAAATCTGGGATAAATATAGAGAAAATGTATTAAGTATTAGTAGTATTTTTAATTTAATTCGCAATGACCCTTTAATTTTTTTCCTTATTTCAGTCGTGACTATAAATTATGAGCCACTGAAAGTGAACTACTCCACACATAAAAACCCAATCCTCAGCCAGCGGCGTGCATTTATCCGAGCACTTCAACACCTTTTTTTTTCCCCCCACATGCATGACAGAAAGTCGCTGTTATCGTGAACAATGTTATTTCACAGTGAGCTGATTTTTTTTGGCAGACACCACACCGGTGTTGCGTTAAGCCGTACATTGGAAACAGCAGGGAAAGTCGTTGTGGAAGCGGCCGAGGTGACGTTCTCCGGTGAATCAAACAGCTCTGCTTTAACGCAGTGACCTGTTTGCAACTTGTCAGAGCTGTGAACGATCAGGGCCGGGGTCTGTCTTCCTCGTTTGAAAACACTGGCCTTTTTGTTCGGATCAGCTCCGTATCTGATAGCGGTCTTTTCCATGCAGACGGTGCCCAGAGGGGATGGATGTGAATGTGGAGGTGATGGAGTGACGGAGGGTGTGGGGTCGGAGCTGAGAGGAGCTTGTTTTAGTTCCTTTTGTGGTCAAATCTGTTTCACATTATCTCAGAATGAAAGAGGGTGGAGTGTGTGTCAGTCAGTCAGTCAGTGTGTGCAGACCAGAGTATTAAATGCATCGGCGAGTGCAACGCTCACAGATCAAAAAGCAAGACTCTGTGACCTGAATGAAGTGAAGCACCTGGGAGCTGCAGATGGAGCCGGAGAGAAAGACGTAGACAGACCCGCAGAGAGCCGTAGCACTTCTGTCTACTAAATTATAATGAGAGAAATAATAGAAAAAGATTATTTCACCTGGCCTTTCTGCTGTTTTCAATAGAGAAAAACAATTTATCTCTATGGTTAATATCACTTCTTGGCTCTGACACCTCCCTCGTGACATTCTCTGGCTCTGGTGGTAACGAGTGTTACTCTGTTACATGCAAGAGAAGCCTTTGAGTCCACACATGGAAACTTGTCTGATGCAGTGTTGACTCATGGGACGGAACACCTGCTGCTGCCATCACCCAGCTGAAGGGGTGAAACAAAGAAAAGACAGAGAAAATGAAACTAAGTTTCACACCTGATCTTTTTGTCGCAGCAGCGAACGAAAGAGGGAGAAATGACTTGAAGCTTCGGGTTTGCATCATTTCCTCTGGTAATTTTTTTTTCTTCTCACCGGTTGGCTGCACATTCCAGATAGTTTCGAAGTGAACACATTTCTCTTTTTCAAATAGTTTCATTGTGTTGTTTTAAGGCGAGAAAAATCTTTTCTTGGGCCGCGGACTTCACATAAATCTGTACTAACATCAGGTACGCCGAGGAAAAACGGGACAAAGTAAATAGGACTTTAAGCTCTTTAAATGCTCCCTGTAGTTTCCTTTTCGACAGTGACAAAATGCCTTACGTTCAGGCAGCGAGTAGGAAAATGAATTTGTTTCTTTGAGAGATTGCGCTTGAATGTTGTCTCCTGGCACGTTCGTTTGCGGACTTTGTGCGTGTTAAACGATCCGGATTGGTCAGAGACTAAGTAGCGTGTCTGGCAGCTATCACACCGCTGGCCAAAGGGCCATTAGCGACAGGCAGTCGGCAGTTGTAGCCGCCGGTTGAGCTCACAGTGTTATCTGTGACTACAGAGGGCAGTCAGACGTGGCAGCAGATGGGGAGTGTAGATTTACCCCAAACCTCTACTGCCTTCAAAGGACACTCACATGGACAGACGGGTGCACACACTCTCACAGGAGCACAGGCAACCACATCCAGTACAAACACCCACGTGCACATACACCTACAGACAAAGCCCTGTGGGGAATTTCACTGAACACAGGGAGCTGTAGAATTCCATCACACATGCCAGGGGTTTTATGCCAAATTACCCTTTAATGGGATATTAAATGGCAGGAATCTGGTTTAATGTTTTTCTTCTTGCTCAGTACCAGATTTCACCTCGTCCGTTATCTTATATACGGTAAAGGGGAAAAAAAGTAATATTCTGGCAGGTAGGATGCCAAAAATTATTCTAAAAAAATTTGGAAAAATCACCATCTTATTACTATTACTTTTTATCTGTTTTAATAAAATTTTATTAACTATTAATATGTTGAAAACTATATTACAAGTAATGAAAAATTGTGAAAAAAGTGCTTAGATTGTTATTTATGTTAATGTTCAATTTTACTGAAATTTATTGTGCAATTTGTGTCATTTTCATGGCAAATGTATTACATTATTACGAGGCTGTAAGAAAAAAAAGAAGTAGAATAATGTAGAATTACCAGCATATATGGTTAAAATTGAAATTGTTTATTATAATTATGATTTTTTTACATTTTTAAAGGTTATATTGATACAGCATACTATTGATTTAAACTACAGCAAATGTCCACAAGAGGGTATAGGCAGGGGAGGGGCTAAGAAATACTGTAACATTAGGTTACATTGTTACATTTTTCATTTAAAATTCAAAGCTAAGTCAACTTCAGCCAATCATAACAGCCCATGAGATTAATCCCTCGGACAAAGGCCTGGGTTCCAATCCCAGCCTCGGACAACGTTGAAATGTCATCGTTAGACTTTGGAACGTCGACCTTTGACATCAGTTCCGTGAAATCTCAACAACATGGCCTGTTGTCTAGTGACACAGAATGTGAAACTGTGGTCATGGGTTCAGTTCAGCAGCGATGCAGCAGGGGTCAGGCTCTCACCCACTGTGATGTTTTTATCTTGCAATCAATGCTAGGTTTGCCATTTATGAGCTGTGGTTACTGTGCTCACAGTTTACTGCCGTTACAGCCTGATGGGGATAACATTACATTTTCAGATATTTGTTTGCGTGAAGTGAAAGGATTTACCACATTGAAGGACCACCAATTTTACAGCTCCTTAGAGGAGCATCAATGTCTGGCATGTCTAAATTTAGAATTTATACGTTCGACTTTGCCAAAATTGTCTATTTTCCCCCCGTTGCCTTTCTTAACCTCACATATTTGGAGATTATTTGGTCATTTTAAAAAACGTTAAACCTTTCTTGTTCGCTGGTAAAGCAGCGTAACTCTGAGGCCCACGTCATTCGCCACCTACAGTAGAAATGTGAAAACAGCGTCAGTCGACAGGAGAGGCAGCAACGAGACCTTAAAGAGCTTTAGAGTGAGGACACGACGAGTGCCAGACAGTTATTGATTCCTGGAGAGTTCGGTGGCACTGAAGACGTCCAGGTTAATGGAAGAAAAGTCGTCTTAATGTGGAAAAGTAAAAGAATGTTTGGAGGTTTTTTTTTTCCCCGAAGTATGAAGCTGGAACGATGTTGGTCGTTGCAAAAATAGACCGTGGTATTGCTTGTTTTTTAATATGTTTGCCGAGAAGAATATAACTTACCCAATTTCCTGCGCCATGATTGTCTTTCTTGTTTCCTCTCCAAAGAGAAACCCAACTGTGATGATTTATACAGCAGTGTTGTTGCAAAACAGTGGCCGCCGTGGGTGATTTAAGTCTCTGACGTTGGGCTCGATGAGCAGTGTGGGCCGCGGAGAAACATGATGGACAATGCACAACACGCCGCTGCTCAGAAACAATGAGTCGCACCCTGCCGGTGTTGGATGAACACTGGAATTAAAGATGTGGACGATCTGGCAACACGTTTATCTTTCCACAGTTTTGTAGGAAAAGGAGAAATGAGAAAGGGAAAGACAGAGAGGGGAGGAAGTTAGGAATGTGGTTCCAAGCAGGCAGGTCCTGCCAAAACTCACTGGACTCAGGTTGAGCTTTGTGAATCAGCGTGAAGGTAAAAGGGAGAGGGAGGCACTTGTTCCATCAAGATCAAGAGTTTTTTTTTTCTTTTTCAGCTGTGGGTTTGTGGGAATGAAAGAAAACCC